CTGTGTTTTGCCTCCCATACCTAGGGGCTATATATATATATATATATATATATATACCTGGGGCGGTATATGAGAAGCTGTCATGATGTAAATAGCTGATCAACACATGACACATGAACGGAACCAGGCGTGGTTCTCAATACTCTGCCACTAGCTAGTGCTAGTGAGCCTGCATAGATGCCTGTGAGCAATTGGGAAGCGACAGGGACTGAATTGATATCTAATGATTCTCACATTCAGACCCAACACCTTTTTTGAGGACCGGAACGACATCAGATTCCTGCCATTCCTATGGCACTTGCTTCGTCATCCAAATGCTCTGTGTGACTTTTGTCAGATTGGGGTCGAGTCCTAGTCCTCTATCTTTAAACAAGACAAGGGGTGACAGACAAGACCCTTCAAAAGTTTGGTTTCACCTTTTATCCAGACCAAACAGTTCACCTGCCATTGTTGATCTGTCAGTGTGTTAAATGCTATGTTGATCACTTCAGAACAGCTGAACTGTTCTTTGAAGTGCTCCAATAACCAAATCGAACGTCCAGACTTGGAATGGAATGTAATGGGTTCACTGGACTGCGAATTTCTCGGCTGTTTCCAGTCGTCACCGCTTTTCCATTCATTGGACTTTTCATAGCCAATTCTCCCCATTAGTCTTGAAACTGCGGATCAGATTTCGTCTCGGAGATCTCACCTCTCCATACTGGGTATATTAATCATAATGCGCACCTTTACACCGATATTCCATTACTCATGTTGTCATTAAAAGCCCAGGTTAACTAAGCGTCCCGGTGAGATGAACCGAATTGATAAAAACAAGATGAAAAGGATACAGCACCCGGAACTTGTATAAAACTCATATACGATTTACTGGAGATAACGATAACGTTTTCTCTAACTTTCGGTTGCATAGGCAGCAGTTATGCGCGTATTCGAGGCTAGTGAGTGTAACAGTGCAGAGTACTGTCTACAATTCGTCATCAACTATCGTTTGTACGGATAAATGCACACTTCAGGACAAGGGTCGAAAGTAATTACTGCACAAATGCACAGGGTGCGAAACCGATGAGGACCTGACATCACAATAGGTTCGCTGAATAGCAACAACAAACATTAAAATGATAAAGGACGCAGACCAGGCGGATTATGATATGGCGAGACCAACACATGCTGTACAAGTCCAATAATCTGTCTGTCGGGCAACACAAGATTCTGGTCAGACCTGAACATGTGACCTTATGTTACAGTTACTTCATCCATCCACCATGAAAGGCTTCTAATTTCATCAATCGACTGTTCGTTATGTTAGTGGCGGACCTGTACTGCGTAGAGTTGTGGGGGATGGCGGTCTTAAATTTTTAAGCGACCCGACCCATAGGTGTTCTGAGCCCATTGAAGGCTAACAATATGGTTGGTAGTGCGGCGCGTGTAAATCCGTGAGGCATGTGCGGCGGGAACGCGTAAAATGCACACAAAGTTCAACCTGCGACTTTCACTATCAAAACGCCAGTTTACAACTAGACTGAAACCCAAGACCGGATGAAACGCTCCTCGATGTATTGACCCATACGTCATGACTACACAACTACCATCAGGAACGTATGATATTATGGAGTAATGCAAACAACCAGGTCATAGACATAATGCTTGTGAGGGTGGGACGACAAAGTTTGCCGTTTGGGGAGTAGTAACCACTATTATTATCGTTTATTTTTGGAGAGTTGCAAAAAGTTCAGTCAAGAGCATCGTCACAAGAAACACAAACCTGTTCTAAATGAAATGTATCCTCCTGTTGTCCCCATGATCTGTAGTATTCGGCCTCCTTGTCACGTTGCATCATTTCCATCTCTTTCTCCCGCTCTTCTCGTTCGCGCTCGCGTTCAGCCCGACGCCGGCGTACGGACTCGAGCTCCAGTTTGTTTTCCTCCATCTTCTTCTTTTGGAGCTCTTGAATCTAAAGAAGTTACAATGGTTTAGCAGAGGGTCTTATGACCTCTTGAAATATGCCTCCGAAACACACAAGACGTAAATTTGGTCATGCATCCCAACGCATTCAGAACAAGCTCAGTTTCCTCAAATTTTACTCTCCGAATACCAGATAGTGCTGAGATGATGGCTGAAGGAGTATATGACGTGGGACTTGCGCTTAGCCCCAAGACCACACGCAATTCGCTGAACAACAGTCTTTGAACGGTCGGTTAAGATATCCCTCTACATGAAGTTTTGGTCCATGGAATTGCATGAAGTGTTATTTTCGAAGAAGCAGGAGAACTGGTGCACTGAGGATCTTGCCTTGATGTAACAAACAAGTTATCACCATGTCTCTAGCCCCAAAAGAACTAGAATCATTAGTGTACAAAACCCTAGTCAGACGGTACTTTCAGACCGTATAGTTTGTAAGTGGAAAAATGGTTGATTAACGGAGGATATGAGGTTGCAAACTAGAGAGCTAACTGATAGGTCACCCACGGCTACTACAGAACGAAAGCATACCTCTTCTTTTGAAAGATGAGTCAACCCCTCTGCCTCAAGCTTTTGTTTCCATACGAACGACTCCGAGAGTCGATGGTCTCCAAAAGGGTTATCCTCGTTTGTGTAACCAAGATACTCTTTGTCCCAACCCATGCGCTCCCGCCTCCATCGTTCTTTGGCTTCTTTCTTCGCCAGCCGACGAGCGCGCTTTTCTTCCGGTGTTTCTAGAACTTTCATCAGTGCCTGTATGGAAATTCAAAGGTTGAGGAACAAAGTACAAAAGGATAAACATGAAACAGAGGAAAGCAAGGACGCTATGTGTAAGGATTATTCCAAACACTGGCTTGGTCGAAATATCACATCAGGAAAAACAACTGATGAGGAAATTCGATCTGCTTCGTCCTAAACTACTGAGATGTAGAGATGCACCACGGACTTCCGGTCAGTAAATTCGCGCTCTAACCACTGAATCATCTCGCGATGACTTATTGAAGACCTATGATCCTATGGAAACCATCAAGAACAATACACCTACACCCAAGAACAGCAACGAGACAAACGTATCTGATCACACTGAATTAAGGCATCATCTGTGGGGTAGACCTAACGTACCTTTCGAACCTCGCTCGACACCAGTCCAACCCCCCAACAACAAATAGACGTTGGCTAGGCAGCCGACTAGGAAACGATGGCGTGATCGCTGCCGGAACCGTTTATATGCCATGTCCTGTAGAGCTTCTAAACACGGTCAAAGAGGATCACGAGGGCCTCAACCAGGAAGGTTGGGTAATTTGACGGTAGATGTGTTCATTTCGCATTACCACGTCATGAACTTTAATCCGTAGACCTTTCGATAACAAGTATTCGGAGCGCCCTTTGGCGGACGGTTGTTAGGTACGCGTAGTGCACGTCCCAACGACCTTAACTTGATGGATTCCACTTGCTGCTCAAATGATTATGATTCACTACCAAGTGCTTGCATACAAAAATGGTCCCTTGGCTTCAGTGTATTCGTTTCCGACCCCATTAATAAAGCAAGTTCGAAAATGTTGCCTGCATCTTGCTAATGCATGCATCGTTTTCTTCCGTCACTGTGCAGCCTCGACTTACACAGCTGATCGAAATAACCGGGGTCTCAAAATAAGTGAAGGTTGATTGTACTTCTTGGAGCTAGCATTTTCGAAAGAACAGGCAATAGTGGTATAACAGACATTTAACCGCTATTCAGGTGTCCTGTTTATGACGGGACACCACTCGTTAAGCCCCCAGATAGTCAACTTGTACTTTCAGCACTTATGTAAAGAAACCCCAGTTGCTGGCCACTAGTTGTTTTCAGTTCGTCATTCGGGCCAGTCTACTACTACTACTACCATTGCCCAGGCAGCAAAGAAGAATAGTGAGTGGTGTAGGTTCGTTATCAATCGGCTGTCAAGTGCTGGAAGAATGCCCTGGGAGCCCAAATATCCCAACATATACCTAACACGCGTTAGTAGTATGCAGTTATTCCCATCTCATAATACGTAAGACACCGCCAGCTGCACGGGTCAAATAAATAGGATAATCGAAGAAAAACACGCAGCTGAAAGGAGATAACGAAATATCTCGACTAGAAAAGCACAAAACATATCAAGTGAAAAACTGGGAAAATGCAAGTCTTAGCCGGAAAACAAGACAGTCTGTGTACCTTTTGTTGTTTCCGTTTTTCCATGAGTTTTTGTAGCTCTTCCACAGAAAGAGACATGAGCTGTTGCGGAACTCCGGCTGACAGTGCTTTCAAACGAATTCCAGAGTCTTCTTCGCCATTGCTCGTGCTAGATGATCCACTATTACTGCTGTTCGACCGCGTATGTTTTTTCTTCTTTTTTCTCGAATGGTGCTCTTCGACGCCGGAACGCACCTTGTGGGAACTATCTCTGTCAGACCGATGACGTTTCGGAGTGTCATGCTTTGAGCGATGGTGGTGTGAAGATTTGTGTTTTCTGTCTCTGCACTCCGAATCAAGAATGCTAACAGGCGAATTGTCATGTGAACGTCTCTCTGAGCGGTCAGTGGCTCTATGACTGGAATATCTGTCAGTAGGACGAGTACGGTCCTCAGGTGAATGCGTTCCAACCATCTGCAACACATGAAGAAAGCAATATAACCATTGAGAGACGGGAAGGGGAACGAACATGAAGAAGGCGTGAAGTGTAAAAGTGTTTATTTGCCATAAGCGGTTCTACGAGAATCTGTACAGTGGCTGGACGGACAATTTATTCTCTATGTCGGAAGTAGTAATCAATGACTGTCGAAAATAGCGCAAATCCAGCGGCTCCCACAATTCCAGGTTGCAATCCAGCTGAAAGACAGTTTATTAGAGTAACCATCACGAACTATCATACCTCGGAAACCAATCGCACCGCCCACAATCGCACCTGACAGTGTGCTATTGAGCAGGTCACTTTTTCCTCTGCGCTAAAAAACGGAAGAAACGTAGTTGGAGAATTCACAATCTTACACTTTCCAAAATACATTCTGTTCCAGCAAACATGGCTCCGATCATGGCGAAACTTTTTGCATGAGATAAGGAACGCGAATACATTTCTCTGGCCACCTGGCGAGTGGTTGGGGTTTCCGCGCCATGAACGGTACTCATCGGATCCACACTGGCGGAAAAGAGACCAAACACACCACCCAAAACAAACCCTAAAGGAGAGTACGTGGAAATAGTACTTTGGGGTTACATACCACCCAAACAACTGATCGCAGCCTTGAATAGACAACTGTCCATTGCATTGCGTACCATCAGTTCCTCACTTGGAGGCATGGGGAGCGAGGGCAACTTCATTCGAATGAGTTTCTCAGGATTTTCGTGAATGTGTTGGGATATAATAAACTTTAGCGCAGAAGGATTATCCGCCTGGAGGGCATCAGTTATCTTTTTCGATAACACCGTGTAACGCTTGCGGTCCTCCTCAGTCAGTTGTAGAAAATCCCTATATCGCTCGGCAAGCAGCTGCTGTATAGTCTCCCGCTCATCGATATCCATTGCCTGACGTCCAAGTTCGGTCATAACTGATGACCATTAAGGTATATCATTCACAACTGAAGAGAATAGAAATTTCATCAGATGAAGAAATCATTGATGGAAGCATAGCGCAAACGAAATTTAACTGCATGAACTAGGTGGTAGGATTGTATATTTGAATAAGCAACTACTTCAACAGCTCAGATGATCATAAAATACTGGGAAATTATTAAATTCAACAAATAGACCACTTAGCATGCCAATTTGGTTTCCATAAGAGGCTCAGCTGAATCCCAGCTAAGTCTCTCGCACATAACATTGTTCTTCACTCTTCTTCGAAGTCTTCAGTGTAATGTGTTAAGCCTAAACAACATTATTGAATGTTATCGTGGATTCGTGAGATCGTGCTCGAATAAGCAGGTGCGCCTACGTGATCTTTTGGCGTTTTTTCTAAACGTTGAGCACATCACAGTGAATCTAAAGGAAAGAAGGCCCACAAAAACGAAAGCAATCACATTACAAAGCGCTTTAACAACGATAAAGTGCCAGCAAAAGATATTTCAAAATTAAGTCAAAAACCGATTTGTGCATCATTAAGTGAAATGTATTCACAATGAACTCCTTAGCTTTATCGTTTCGTATATGAAAACATCGGTATTTACAGCAGAGCTTCGTCACTCAATCGAAGTGAGAGGAACAGTGATTACCCGTTCTAACGGCTCTTGAAACCCCGTCACCCGTTCAAAGACAAGTGCGCATCGTCATCCCGTCATTTGTCCAAATTCCCCTAGATTATAAGTAACTCCCTTCAGTCACGAAGAGACTGGACATTACTGTGGTGTGACGGTTCACATCCCTTTGTCACCCATCGAGCTATACTGGCGTGTCCCTCATACCAAGTTGGTCACGGGTTGGAGGTCTGACGAACACAGTCGCCTGGTCCTCTAGGTTGAAGGGTGAAACATGTGTTTGTTGCGTCTGCTGTACCTGTCTGACTGTGGCTCGGATACCATCAGAGAATGTCCTGCTGCGGTGAGCTATAATTTCAGATCGCCGGAAATCTGAATGCACAAGTGAGCGGGTTTAGGGTATCTAAGACTCATTTAGGTCGACATGGATTGGACTCGGTACGTACGGATAATGGTGAACGATCGCCTCAGCTGTGTGCTAATCACCGGTCGTTTTTATGCCGTACTAACTTTCGAAATAGCCTAAGTCGTCTGGTGCCCTCCAACAGCAGGCCGGCCACAAACTCAGTTACCGATGGAATGGAGCAATAACTAACTGCCGGTCGGTTTGGAACACATTTGTGGATTCGAACCACGCACTCGTCCGAGGTCGCTTTTGCCTATGTTTCGCAGAGCCGCGTAAAGTGCGGACAACTCGCTTGGTAATTGGGGACTGACAGATCTGGAGGTTAGAAGAATTTACCATAATCGTCTTCTAGAGTCTCCTCCAACCGCTCCACCATCACAGTTGAATTAATACTAAGCCGAGATCGGCACTTCTTCGCACAGTACTGGGAGTTCTTCCTGTGGCACGGCACTACAAAGTTCAATCAATCACTGGATATCAGAGAGAATAATGGCACTAAATGAACCTCGGAGAATTATCCCAGCCGGTCCCGGACGTAACTGGATGAAGAATTATCAGATGTCAAGTGACAGGGCATGCGAGCCGACCCTGAAGTCTTGTGACGTGGAAAGTCAAGGTCAAATGGAAGAGGCCCGGAAAACCGAGGATGCCCGAAGATTATTGGAGGTTAGAGAATTTACCATAATCGTCTTCTAGAGTCTCCTCCAACCGCTCCACCATCACAGTTGAATTAATACTAAGCCGAGATCGGCACTTCTTCGCACAGTACTGGGAGTTCTTCCTGTGGCACGGCACTACAAAGTTCAATCAATCACTGGATATCAGAGAGAATAATGGCACTAAATGAACCTCGGAGAATTATCCCAGCCGGTCCCGGACGTAACTGGATGAAGAATTATCAGATGTCAAGTGACAGGGCATGCGAGCCGACCCTGAAGTCTTGTGACGTGGAAAGTCAAGGTCAAATGGAAGAGGCCCGGAAAACCGAGGATGCCCGAAGATTATTTCAGTTGATCTGTGCAGCTGGATCCCAGAAACCACCTATGAGCAAAATCATTGGGTATCAGACTGGAGCGACCATCTCGAATAAGAACTCGACCACCGGACCGAACACTCCGAGCAACAGTAATCGCGGCAACTAGCTGTCACGCATCTAGAGCCCACAGTTGACGTAGAACCCTGAATGGTGAACATGAAACTCTCATCTGCTACAGAGGTTTATGACTGCATATGTTCTCCCAAGCACCACCGAGTCTCTGGTCCGGATAATCTCCAACCCGCACTGTTCAAAGACTGCATAAAATTGTCAGTCGGAGATTGTCTAGTCCGTCTGCTTGTTTAGGGAAAACGATGCTGTCCCAGACAACTAAGAAGAGTCGGCGGTAGTTCCCATTTTCAAAAAATGGGCTCGTAGTGAGTAAGGGGAATAGCTCAAACCCGGTTGTAACAAAACTGCTAGCGTTAACTGTGCTTCGTCGCATTGTGGTGGCTCGCAAAACACTGCTCGAGAAAAGCAAGAGGGATTCCAGCCTGATAGGGGTTGTGTTGACCAAATCTTCATACTTCTTCAGGTGCCAGAACAACACCATACGTATAAACGACCCGAAATTCTAGTATTCCTGGATTTCCAAGGTGCATTTGACTCGGTTGACACGCTTGCCCACCAAGGAATGCCCCGGAATTTCGTGAACACAATAAGCTCTTTGCGTTCCCCGACTTCCGGACGTGTGAGAGTATACGGTGAGCCCTCCAAAAGCTTCCGCACACAAAGTGGTGTCCGTCAGGGATACCCACTCTCCCGTTCCTGTTCAACTTAGTGACCAATGAAATCATGAGACGAACACTGGAAGGTCTCGAAAACCCCGGTGTTCTAATAGCCTGTGACGAAAGTCTTGTCGATCTGAAATGTACGGATGACATCGTACTCATCTTCGAAGAGGAGAAAAAAGCGCTAGTGTTTTTGGATGAATTGACCAAAGTCATCCCATCCTTTGGTATGCACTTTGTATTCACAAAGTGTAAAGTCATGCCCTTGCATATGAAGTCGGTGAACATGCTGCTTACAATCCAGGGAGGGGCACTCAAAGTTGTGGAGCGTTTCACATACCTTGGAAGTTGTATTAGTTCTGATTTCGTGCGAAAGATGAATGCACGAATCTGCAAGGCTCGAGTCACAGTTAACACCAATGACCAATCGACAGATTCGAACACACTTCTGAAGTCAGGAAAAACCAAGATTGTGGGTCGTCTGTACACATGGTATTTCTCTAACACCTGGAGGAGTTGGGAGATGCGTTTGACGCAGCCTCTATCCGGTCACATTCCCGCTTGATGTTCACAGGTCAAGGAGTTGCGTTCAATCATGATACGACAAAAAACCAGTTATTCTAGAAGCCTTGTTACAACGGGAGTTAAACTAACACTTTTGCGGCTACTACATTCACTGGGACTACCTTTCTGGGACGGTCACCATTATCCACTACTGTCGATCGATGTCCTTTTCCAACTCCTTCCACCCACAAGTAAACGCCACTGGACCATTTGGTTTTTAGCTATATGATCTGCGTGCCTTATACGCCCAACTGTCTGTAATCTATGCCAGGTTGGCAAGTAGACAGTGTTTGCCTAGACCTTGCACCCGGTAAAATGGATTGTTCTGCTCCTCTGAAACACACAAGCGTGATCACGCATGTTAAGAGCCAAGGGCGAACTCACCCTTCAGATTTCACTGTCGTGTGTCTGGTGATCCAGAAGGGATGGCTCGTGAAATATACGGCGTATAGGTAAATAATAGCAGTTTAGCTGTAACGGCCACTCAGTGCACAGTCGCCATGCCACCCGAAGGATACCTGAGGGCTGAGATATTACCAGGTTGCCCAGGCCCAGACGAGATGATACATCGCATGGGCTTTGCAGTCAGACCGAGAACTGAATATGCTTTGCTGGGTTGAAACCCAACGAATTGCGTTCTTTGCACATAAACGCTTACTGGGAAAATGAGCCGAACACCTCGCCGAACAGTTTCTCTGACCTCCTGCATAGAACCCCCTGGAAACAGTGCATGCGAGCAGATGGACTGTAAACCTTGATAAATTGTCAGAAGAATGAGTATTCCTGTCGAAACTCGAGAAGGCACCAGGATTAGACAGTTTGTTTCTAGTCCTCTACAAAGGCAGATTATTCTTGGTTGAGTATCTGACAGTACTCACCAAGAAAATACCTGCAGGATGCGGTGCACTGACAGTCATTCCTATTTCCAAAAGTGATACACGCATAGTGCGTGAAATCCACTGCGATATTAGCCTTGGAGCTTTATCATCATTGAGGCGGTCTAGTCTCAACCTTCGAAGGTATGCCGAACGCAACGAGGGGCGGATCTGTAAAAAAAACAGATTTCTTTCCTTCCTGCAAAGGGAAGAAATGATTACATCATCATTTCCAGTTGCAAGAACCGCGTACTAGCCGTACATTGGTTATAGTTGCCACAGTTCCATTCACCTATGATTTGGGGGAGATGGGGTAGGCAGCTGCGAATTGGAGGCGGGAGCTGATGTAATTGACGCGTAAATACACGGTTGTAAGTGGACTTTTAAGTGGGGAGATTGAGGGGGCTATGTGTTGAAGGCAATAGCTTGGATACATCAACACCCTTGAGGGCACGACTGAGTCATGTCTAACAATGTCTTTAACCATTGACTTCTCCCGTCTCGCGGTCCCTATGCCGAGGGACGGCAATGGTCAGTGCAGCCGAGTTTGCTGGTAATAGGTTTCATACTTCGCTGCCAAATCATTGTTTGACCTCGCTGGCTCGTTTCTACCCTTCATGCGGTTGCGTGAAAAGAAATCTTCGAGGAAGTCGGTCGACTAGCCCACTGACCATGCCAGCGCAACCTAAGCAGGTAATCAGTTTACCTATTTACGCAAATTCTGGAACAGCGACACTTCTCCCA